ATACAACAATCTATGTATTTAGATCTTCTCCTGTTCCACATATAAGCACAGGGAGGGCAGGCCCACGACTGGTTTTGCTCACTAGCACTTATGTTTCCTGACATACAGTAAGTGTTTTGTATGTGTGATAACTGCAATTAAAATAATAACAAAATAATAATACAATTCAAAGAATGAATGAATCAAAGCATAAATGGTTTCTGTTACAGGAACTTAAGCCTCACTGATTTACTTGAGTACTTGATGACAATATGTGGGAAGACAGAAAACATGGGTAGATTTTTAAAAAGTATTTGACATGTTAATAGTAAGTTCTTCGGGTTATAAGGCTGAGTCTTTGTGATTTTCCTTTTTATATTTTTTTATAATTTCCAAATTTTGTAGACATGACCATTCCTATATTCTCAATAATAAAATATTTATTAAAAAGAAAAAGAAGTCAAGAAAGTCTACAATAAAGCAAATTAAAAATGGAGTGATCATGATATTGGAGGTCATATTCCGTGAAGGAATGAAAATATTTAGAAATAGGAAAAAAAGTATAGAGAAATGAATGTTGATCCATATGGAATATTACCTAGACTCATTTAAAAAATTTATTTATTGTTGAAAATATTACAGATGTCCCCTTTTTCATACCCATTGACCCCTTGACTCCTACCTCTCCTCCTTCCCCCTCCAGGCATTCATCATTTTAAATTTTAACTAAAAAATTAATGATTGGACACATGGAAATCTCCATGATTGCAGATAATAGTATATTAATGAGTTTTGGAAAATAATCAAAAGTCAATCATAGAGATACATTTTTTATGATTCCATATAGATGTTCTTATTCAACATTTCCCCAAATTATTTAATAGTTTCTCTCCTCTATTGTCTAAAATTGTGTTTGAACTCCATGCTTCTTTCCTTTTGAAATTGGTATTAGGACAGTATGGTGTAAGTTTTAGTTCTACTGGATGTAATGCCTAGCTGTAACAGAAAGGACATATTTGACAACATGGCCCTACTTTCTGGAGATGATCTGAGGAAGCAGGAGAGCCTGTTACTGCCAGTGAGAAGCGCTAAGTATCAAGTGTATGAAAACAACAAATTACCCTTTAGAGGTAATGTACAGCAACTCTGTAGGAAACTCTAAACAATTCCATGCAGCCAATTGATTCGGTTCATTGACTGGAGGCTTTCCCCATGTTCCTGGCTTGTGTAGGGTTAGTCAGATCAGCCTTGCTCAACCTGAGAGTTTCATTTACTAGAAGCAAGCATTTCATGACTCAGCCTCCACATTTTCAAGGCTCAGGAGATGCCTTTTCTGTGTTATGAAGCATCACCCTGGAGCTTCCACTGTATCTCTGATTGAATACTGGAGAGGCACCAAGCTGTGAAGCTGGGGTGACATCCCCATTGTGGCCAGACTGTCAGCCAGTCACAACATTACATCACCTTGTTCTTTGCCATGCCTGAAAGCGAGAGCATATCGATATACCTTTCTTCTAAATACTCGTGTGGAACTCAGTTTGAATTACCTGCCATCCAAGAAAACTGACATCTAAGAGGACCGACATAAAGAACACGCATAAAATATTCATTTCTCAAGATTCACTGCCTTTCTTTCCTAATTAAACTAGATCATGAAAACTGTATTCTTACATTGTAATATTCTGACCATTTACAGAATTTCCCTCATAGAAATGAACTATGATCTAAGATAATACCTTGGCTTTCATCAAAGGCTGAGGTAAGAAGAAAAAAACAAAAGCTATGTATGAAAGATCTCTATTAAAAAAAAAGTCTTTGAAAGGAGTCATTTATTTTATTGCTCAATGTTCTTTGTATAAAGACTTACTGGGTTTGCATCCTAGCTTTGCTTTCACTTTAGGATGCACTATAATGGAATGAAAACTCCTTGCTGTGGTTGGTGTCTAATGTATTCATGTGTGCGGGCAGTGCTATGAACGGTAAGGCTGTCTGCCTCTTGACCACTGGCCATTACCTTCTGATCTGTGGGGGAATTGTTTTTATTTTGCATCTTTCTTTTGTTTGGGAGGATACAGGAGTGAGCTGCTATTTTAGATTCTGTATAATGAACTGGGAATGTGTAAGGCCTACTTTTCTGGTGGTAGTTCCATTATATATTTGAAAAACACATGGTCATTGTTCATATGCAAAACCTCCCACAAGAAAGATACATTATGTAGCTATTATTTGGATCTCCTTACATGCAAGTAACGGATTGCATAATGAAAGATATCTGGCTTTTTTGACCACTATTTGGAATGAACACAATGATGATAAATATGATTGTGGTGGAAAAATTAGCTAAATGGATTTGTACTATGTCTCTGGACCTTAATTTTGAGTATTTTCTGGATTCTAAATTCTTACTTAGATGGATGAAAGTACATAATTTTATGTCCTAATTTTCTAAGAGGCCCTGACTGCTAAA